GATTGGCAGGATTTGAATCGACAAACATCTTCCTGAAAATACGATCAGCGTCAGCAAATTTATTTGTACACCAAAATCCTCAGGCTATTTGTATCTGTTACATAAATTCAAACTTAGAGGCATACTTAGGCTGGGAGAAGTTTGCCAGACATACGTCTGTTCATCAGAACGAGCTGGAGGAAATTCCAATGTTTTATTCAGACATTCCAGAATTCAAGTCGTGCATTCAGGACAACTGTTAACGTCATTAGCTAGGTAACCTGCCTAATGCATTCAGCGAAAAGATATTAACTGCCAGCCAGCACCGACTTCATGACTCGATATCACGATATGAATCAAACAAGATATTCTGCATATATCATCCGTTCAGAGACATACGGAAATCATTCAGTTCCGCTAACGTCAGGCTGCATAACAATTCGTGATGAAGTAAAAATCAACTATGCACTCATCAATAGTGAAATACAGCAGAATTGTAGTCTGGTTATAATCAATCAAGATGAATCAATGAATGAGCGAATGAATTAGTCAGTGAAATCTTTCTAATTTTCATTAATTTACGACTTCCACATTGTGCTAATTTTAACTTAACTATCAGACGAAACGCATGTACCTCACTGCATTGTCATACGGCACGACCACTCCACATAATTCTCAGCCACCCCTCCAGAAACAGGTTGTTCCGATGCACAGTCACGCGATTTCCTTGCTCACGAGTATTGGCCGTTAATAATAAAAATTTATGCCGATCTAGGATTTGCGCGAATGAATGAACACTGCGCGAATCAGATGAGCTTCCTCGCGCCTGTCACCAAAAAAAACCTCAAACAGCAGTACCGACCAAAAGTACGACTTGCCTCTCGGCTCTGAACGAACACTTGCAGTAGACTACCTCCACCAGCATTGCCTTGAAGAAGGCCTGTTCAGGTGTGGACGGATCAGCGGCATCGGTCGGCTACCTGACAGACCCCCACCCCTCCCGCCATATTGCGTCGTGCAACAGAACATCGGCTGTTTTTCTTTCTGCGTAACTAATGCACGAACACACTTAGCTCGTATTTGGATGAATGAGCGGTTGGCGGGCGGATGAATGAAAACAATCAATGCAAGAACGAACTGCAGTATGCCATTCAGGCCTTGCTAAAAGTTTTGCTCCAATGGACCCGCGATGACAGGGCCCGGCCCGCTGAAAGTGAAAGCCGATTGGCTCCAATCGTCGAAGAGCGTGTATAAAAGGCCCAGTCCCGTCGTTAACGAAGTCTGGTTGCGTAGACTTTCAGAATCGCTTTTGTACTGGACGTGTGCCATGTCAACTCTTTGTACACGTAATGAAAAATAAAGTTGTTTGATTGGTCAGCGGTGCCAATTCGGTTTTATTCCAAAATGCGGACAAATCGGCAAGCGGCTGAGGGCTGACAGAATGAACCTCATTGCAGTAGACGTGCTCGGCGTGCTACTACAGGATAAATGGACGAATGAATAATTATGCGTTTGGCGCATGGCGACGAATTCTTGAGACACATCGAAGTTTGTGTATTAAAAAACGGCTGAATGTAAATTTAGACATTCTTCAATACGGTAAGGGCACGTCACCCGTGATAGATAGAGAAACTGTGTATCGCTGATTGTGTAAATTGTAGATCAATGATAGTCGTGTGCTCCTAAGAACTAGTTCGCTGCCAACTAATCGTCGGATCACTGAAAAAAAATATTATCATCACCCAATGCAAATGTTGAACAACGGAGTATCCTACTGTTGCGAAGCCTGACTACATGAATTAATGCCTGATATTGATATTCAGCCTCCCTCTGCTCTTTATATCGCCATACCGCTTTCTAAACTCCTTCTGCTGCTGCTGGTCATGAAGGGATCAGTAATAAAGATTGTCTTCTTTCAACTTGGTGGCACAGTGCGTAAGAGGTCTGTTTCGAACTCAGGAGGTGAAGGATTCGATTGTGGCCCCCGGAAATCTATGTATTAACCACAATTACCCTTGAGCAAGGAATCACTTCATACTGCTTCAGATCGGATTTAATCAGTCGTTAGAACATCGGACTCGAAACCAGGAGGTCCCGGATGTGAGTCCCGCTGAGGTAACTCGTTTTTTTTTCTGCAAAAGTTGATAAATGAGTGTCACTCAGTGAGAAGGAAACAGGAGTCTATGCAGTACGCTTCCGACGTAGCTGCTGTCGACTTTATTCTTAAATAATAAGCATTTTTGACTGATTGCATGAAATGGAGATCAACACTCCTATCGTTAACTGCATTAAAAGACGGAAACAAGAAGGCCTCATGCGTTCCAATAGTTGCAAACTCCATTTTTTTCTTCTTGGACTTGACGAGTAGTTCTACTATTGTAACTTAACAAATCATCGTAAGAAATTGACTGTCGAGCAAACCGACTAACACCTCAAGCTGTTAAAAAAAATTTTTATTATAATACTCCAGCATGTTCGCCTCATCGAATGATTCTGCTTCCAACCCTTTGTTGGAACTGCAGTGATATTTCTTGCAACTAAGCTGACTTGCCTCAAAAGCGTACTGAGATCTGTTATTACTCGTTAGCTCTCTGTCATGGGTTTCCGAACCGCTGTTGACCGCTGCGGTAATTGGAAAACGTAACTGATTCTATTATACTGTGTGTCTAAATCATCATCCTGGGCTTTGTTCACAGGTTTTCAACACCTTTGCCATGACTAAACAGTTACAGCATCGTTGAGGAAATATTTCTCTCCAAAAGCAGTTCTGTCTCTACCTTGTTTCTCCCTGCTGTACGCTAACCTCCTGGTAGACTTCTGCTGTATTTCGGTTCCCATGCAAGAACCTCATGGGAGAGAATAAATGTCTTAGGCTCAGCCAGCTTCTCAAATAAGGTCTTTCCCCTTCTCTTAATCTCTACTTCCATTGAGGTTATCTATGATCGGACGTGAATGGATCCATTCCTTACATATACCTATCATTTAATCCTCATTGGCCTCCAAGATTACGCTGTTACACGCAGTTGAACCATCGTTCCTGCACCTTCGCCAGATCAACTGTCTTTACGCAGGACAACAACTCTGATCTGACCGAGGTAAGGTACAGGAGGATTTCTGTGGAAAGAGTTACTTTCTTTAACCTGAATATTTGACAGGTTTCAAAATGTACTGAAAGAGAAGACGATCATCCAACCTAATTCCAAGTAAATTGAATGGCGCCATCCCTAAATGGCTCATTACGGAGCCGAGATACTCAAACAAATCGATCCCTTTTACCGTGTCAGCTCCAATTTCCAGTAGTAGATCAGCTGCAGCGAATAAGATAATCATAACAAACGAGTTCTGTAGGATAAGGAAGAGGCCGGATTTTGTGACTGTGTTACGCACGAATACCATTAAATGACAAAGCGCATTCCCGGTACAACTCATTAGGGCAATAGTATTTGCGTACTCCAAGTCAATGAAGTCTCTAGCCAGATGTCTTCATGTAGGCCTTCCCTATAGATCATAACTTTCGTCATTCCGGAGGTCAGTACTCTTCTTTAGGAGAAAGTCGAAGACAATTTTCACTAATAAAGGTGAAAATGAAAATGGGCATACAAACATATATTTCAGCGTAATTCAGTTGAGATACCGTTCGCAACTGTTGATTCCGTCTGTCCTTAATAGATAGGTCTACTGTGTTTTTTTGTAGAGAGTACTTTCACGTTACCAGTAACAACTAGAGTCTATTCTGCATGATCACCTGAGTCGACTAAACACTCAAACTTCCCCGAACACCTTGTTAGGCAACATGAAGCCATCCGAATTGCGAGGGAATAGAAAATGGGCTTACTCGCAGTACACAGTCCTATCTTTGTGCTGAACTTCGACTAAAACTAACTCAGCTACGTGGATCATGAAAACTCTGATTTATATTTACAGAGAGCTGCTTTGCAGTTTAGTGGCCAAAGTGTGCTTGATGTATATTCATTTGATACCGATTCTGCCGCTCAGTTAAGAAGAAACGCTTTTATTGCATAGGGCACTGTAAAACCAGTCATCATCTATAAAGCATCGTGGAATCTTGTCATTATTAGGGGAAGGGGGAGAGCTTGGTTGTTAATGGG